AATAAGTAAAAAAGTTCGTATAAACGTATGTCCTAAAATGCTTAGTTTCTGAGATACAGTGTGTAGAAGTTTAATTTTTATTTCGATTTTTTCCAAATAATTGATGAAATAACGTAAATATTTGGATGAAAATTGACGTCCAGGACTTTTTTGATAAATTTGATTTTGATGTCAATATGACTCCTACTTTTCGGATAGATCACTTTTCGTTCCAGATACCAATATTCATCCAAATATTGAGATTACTTCAAAAATTATTTGGAAAAAATTAAAATAAAAATTAAATTTCTACACCCTGTATCTCCGGTAACATTTTCGGACATATATTTATACGAACTTTTTTACTTATTCTTATCTGCAGAATATGCTGCCGAAATTTCCGGAATATAGTTCGGACCACCCTGTATAATGGTATTTACATGAGATTAATAAGAAACCTATTTTTTTCCTCGAAAAAGCAAGTCGGCTTTGTGTTAAATTAAGAATTACTTCAATTATCAGAGCCTTGATTGGCTCACAGGTAATCAGACCCTACGAACCCGAGACCCGGTCCAAACAAAGATCGCTTCCTTAAATCTAATTACACAAAAGACAAATTTGGTCCGTTCCGTCCATTACCTCGAGCGATTCGTGTTCCGAATCGGCACGAACGATACCGACCGGGTAATTTTTTCGCAGGCGACAAAGGATATTACCTCACTAAATGGAAAACACCATTATGTTAAAACAAGTCCGAAGGAAAACAAAATTACGGTAGGCCTGATTGAAATTGGAACGTGACCGTTTTACTATGCAAAGTTAAGGCAATTTGGAAAGGGTTTGTAATTTTTACAAAAACTGTATGTTTCTAGAAAAAAGTCTCTACAAAAAGATTTCGACAGATGATATAAAAAAAAGGATTAAAAAAGTCGCCTTGACTAGGATTCGAACCTGCCTTACTACGGCTCCAACGTCATAGCAGCGTAAAGTCCTAACGCTTTAACCACGCGGCCACCGAGGACTTGAAAGATTCTATGTAAAATTCTTACTTAAAAGATAAGTTTAGTGAAGGTACTTTTTTATTTATAAACATTTATTTAATTCTGTTTTTAGTATTTGTTCTTATAGCGGCAACATAGATACATTATCTGTAAAAATTTCGACTGTCTAGCTATAACGGTTCATAAGATAGACCTTTGTGACAGACGGACGGACGCGGACGGACGGACAGCGAAGTCTTAGTAATAGGGTTCCCTTTGGGTACGGAACCCTAATAAAATTTACTTAGGGATTCAAAAGACCGACAGAACTGTCGATATACCAAACCTCGCATGTTAAATTTCTGCGGCTAGATTAAAATATATTTTTTTTTAAAATTATGATATCTAGGTTTGTATGAAAGCAAAAGACATATTTCATTCAATCGATTACTACAATATTAATTTTGAATTATTTTTCTAAGTAGATACTTCGGGAGAAAATAGAAAAGTACTGTGACCTAAAATATCAGTCGTACCAGGCAAATATTGCATCTAATAGTTTTTTGATAGGTCCTGGGATGATAAGAATACCGAATCGGCCCCAGAAAGGAAACGGGCTCATAATTTCAGGAAATATTTGTACACATAAAATACTTCGATACAGCAAGTTTGAGATTTGTATCTATAACCCCGTCTGAATAAATCGAAAAATACTGAAAATCAGTAAAAAATGTTATACTCAGCGTCTTGTGAATCGAATGATCTAGCGACCGGATATGTTTTGGGGCTTTTTGGAAAAAAATAAGAGCTATATCCGTCCGCAAGAACCTAAAATAAACAAGGTTTTATTCTTAATTTTTAATCATGTTACGATAATCGTAAAAATATGAAACTATTTTTTTTGAATTCCCCATTCAATTTTCGATGAAATTATGAGCTTGGGAATTTTTTTTAAACGGTACCGCACATCGAAAAAAATTAAAAATCGATTTTTTGCTCAAAAATCGATTTTTTTCATAATCAACTATTGAAATGATAAAATATAAAACTTTTGCGATTATTGTACTAGTAAAGGCAACAAAATAAATTCGGGACGCTCATATAAAAGTAATTGTTCTTTATTCAATAACGTCATTATATTAATCTGTTAACGCAAAAATCTTATGAATTAGTGACTAGTCTTCGTCGCTATCTTTGTCAATCACAGTAGTGACATTGCCTTGATCATAAAAAAATCGATTTTTGAGCAAAAAATTGCTTTTTGAGCAAAAAATCGCTTTTTGGGCAAAAAATCGATTTTTAATTTCTTTCTATATGCGGTTCCGTTTAAAAAAAAATTCCCAAGCTCATAACTTCATCGAAAATTGAATGAGGAATTAAAAAAAATAGTTTCATATTTTTACGGTTATCGTAACATGGTTAAAAATTAAAATTAAGAATAAAACTTCTTTATTTTCTTGCTGACGGATATAGCTCTTATTTTTTTCCATAAAGCTACTATCATGCCCCAAAACATAACCGGTCGCTAGATCATTCGATTCACAAGACGCTAAGAATAACAATTTTTTACTGATTTTCGGTATTTTTCGATTTATTCAGACAGGATTATAGATCTGAAACGTTCTGTATCTAAGTATTTTATGGACACAAACATTTCTTAAAATAATGATCCCGATTTCTTTCTGGGGCCGATTCGATATTCTTATCATCCCAGTGCCTTTGTAATGCTATTATCTAGACATTCTTTTATTTCTAAATATTCATTTTTTTTTAATTTTGAGTGTCTAGGTTTGTATGAAAACAAAAGACAGATTTCATTCAATTCATTACTAAGATATTAATTTTGAACTATTTTTATAAGTGAATACTTCGAAAAAAAAATTAGAAAAGTACTGTGACTGTCACTCATACCAGTCTTTGACATATGGCATTTTGATTTATCTAGAAACAAATAATATTGCACCTAATAGTTTTTTGAAATTTGTAATGATATTATCTAGACATTCTTTTATTTCTAAATATTCAAATATTTTCTTTAAAATCTATAAAATGTTAAATCTACAGATCTCGTTGCTTTAACATCGAAATAGTTTCTACTACTATAGACTTTTAGACTACTAACTTAGTCTAAAAGAGTATTTAAAACAAGATACATATAACAATATATAATAGATATATTATAGATTATATTACAGATAATTTATATAAACTTCTATTAATATTTTTAAATATTTTATACCAGTCATTTTCCGGTGAAACAAAAATACCAAATAATTTATTCTGAATAATGCGATATTGTAATGCTTATAAAATTTGTTCAATTAAATATTAAAATTCAGTCCATTAAAATAAATACAGTACTGTTTTTAAATATTAATCCAATTAACAATATATTTAGTATATGAAAGAATTATGAGCATGTTTATTTTATAAAGTATTCTAAAATTACAAAAGTTTAATTTAAAAAGTTTGCTATCGGATAAAACGACAACGTTTCTCTCTCTCGATTAATTATTCAGAAATAATAACAAACCGTAGAACTATAAACACAACTTAAAATTACGATAGTAATAAACTATAACGATAATTACGTCAATAAATATAATAATTAATCACCAAACATAATGCAGTAACAATAGCATTTACCAAACAGATTTAAATTATAAAGCGGGCTAACTAGATATATAGGCAGTTCATTAAACAGTACAATCATGGAGTCAAAATATATAATGTAATAGTATAATTTAGCTAAAATTATATTTTGTTATTTAAAGCAAAATATTTTTCAAAAACTGTCGTAGGTACTACATGTTGCTCTAAAAATAATTTGAAACGGAAGGAATTGGTTTTAATAAATAATAGCTTAAAAGCAAGGGATGTTTTGTTCCATTTTGTTATATTGACACAACTTGAATATTTTCACGCAGTTAGAAAAGTCAGTCTCAATTATATACGCTTATATTCTACATCTAGTAATCTAATTTAAATAAACAACTAAATTAACCTTGTAGACTACATAATGTAAACATTTTTGGTTCAGAACTAATAAACAATTATTACTCATATTCCCGATTAAGATATTGGAACAAACTTATTATATTACTGTAGCTTGTAGGTAGTATGTGTGTATATATTAGTCTATAGTGTATTGTGTATAACTCATCTTCGGCAAAAGCCAGTATCTGAGACGGTTTTAGAGTTTTAGAGACCGAAATCAGTCGTACCAAAGATTATGGCACGAATGGTTACCGTATCGGCGCACTCAATGATGTAGTGTTCCGGTGTTTATCCATTTTCCTCACAGAATCTGCATTCGATGTTGTTTCTTAGCTTCAATCTACTGAGAAATTCATTAAGGAGACAGTATCCTATTAAAAAACCCTTGTCAATTCGAAGATTGTTCTTATTTTAGTTCTTATTTTGTCTGTATTGCCATCAATACTTGATAAGTCTGCAAAGTTTCAATTTAATCTGACGTCTCTGAAGTGAGTGCAAATAAAGTTACATACAAAGATAACGTTACATAATCATTTAGGTGAAACAAATAAATGCGTATTCGCACAATTATCTTGATATAAAGAATATCGAATGATATAAAACTTTATAGATTTTCAAATTAAAAATGAAAAAGTTCTATTCTTCAAACAGGTATTGAAAAAATTATTTATAAAAACAATTATATTAAAACAAATACACCTTTCTTCCCATTCTTGTGTATCAATTAGTTAAGAAAATTGCTACTTCAAAAGATTTCCAATAAATTTATATATTTATACATTCTCAAGTAAGACAAATCACATTAATCCAGTCAATCACAGAGTAGTAATAACAGACATATAAAACCCGTAAAAACACAAAGACGATAAAAAGAAAAAGATGCGAACCAATCCATCGAAAGTTAACGGTCAACCCATTAACCTCCTGCTTAAGGAAAATATTACACACTCGCACGGGCACATTCTAGTGCGCATTGGAGCGCGCACCGCCACTCTTTACTTGGCGAGACGCCTTTCAATCCCTTCGAGTGTCAGTGCACGCCAAACCACCTGATCGCGCGGTCTCGATTCTCCCCAGCTCCGCAATTCGCGAGATTACGACGCGCCGTTCTTTTCGAAAACTAAAATGTGATCCCAGAAAAAAATAATTTACTCTAAATTTACAAACGGAAAAACAATGGACTATATTTTTATACAAAATGTAATCGACAAATTTTTCGTTTGAGTAATGTGACTGGAAAAAAATGTTGCAGCTATTAATATTGCTGCTAATGTTTATGGTAACTCTAGGTACGACATGTCCTACGATGTGTACCTGTCGACATTACCCGAGAAAAACTATGCCAAAAAGCTATCTGTATTACACTGTGGTCAAGTGCCAAATGATCGATGCCAATACGACTTTAGACAATTCCACGAGAGTTTTAGAACTATCGAACTTAGACGAAGAAGGCCTAAATACCTTAGTGCAAATAATGACTGAAAGTGATTTACCCTACCTGAATAACTTAGTTCTATCGACCAGTGTTTTGGATGACTTCAAAGACTATTTTGACGTTATCGGTGAACAAATAAATTATTTATCTCTAACGTATAATAATCTAACTTCCATACCAGAACTGTCGAAAAATCTGTCAAACTTAATCTCGTTAGATCTATCTAATAATAAAATTGAATCAATTTCTCTCGGTGCATCTCTAAGGACACTGCCTAATTTGGAAGTTTTAAATTTAAGTGCAAATTGTTTAACGCAAATCAGAACTGAGAGTTTCAAACAAGTTACAAATTTAAAGCGGTTAGACCTGTCAAGAAATAATTTATCAAGTTTAGAAAACGGAACTTTTGACACGTTAGGATCTCTACAACACCTTAATTTAAGCTACAACAAAATAGAAGTTTTAAGTGAAGAAAGTTTTAGTAGACTAGGATTGTTACAGCAACTGGATGTTTCATGGAATATGCTGACTTGTGTCGCTCCCGGAAGCTTGCAGCTACCTAGCTTAACACGCCTACTGCTAGCTGGAAACCCTGGACTTGGAAAATCTCGTGAAGTGCTTGTTGGAGTAGGAGGAAAGCTTCAGTCAGTGGATGCATCTAAAACTGGTTTAAAGCAAGTACCAGCCGCTCTAACTCATTCAATTCGTACTCTAAATCTAGCAGATAATGTAATTAAATCGGTAAATTGTGGTGAACTTGATTCATATCCACTTCTCCAACTTTTAGACTTCACGTCAAATAATCTCGTTTCAATCGAAGAGGACGCTTTAGGTCGTCTAGAGTCTCTTTCAATTTTGTATCTCACTGACAACAAAATTCAAGAGGTTCCTAAAAGTTTACCGGAAGATCTAACTGTACTGCACATAAAATTCAATCGAGTTGAAAAAATACACAAAGACGATTTTGAAGGGATGACAAAACTCGAGGTGCTTTTAGTCAGCGACAACAAAATTACAGTAATAGAAGAAGGAGCCCTCCGACATCTATCTTCCCTCGCAACTCTGGACCTGTCAAGAAACCCAATAACAACCCTACACCCTGGAAGCCTCTCCGGACCACCGGCTCTACAAGTCCTCCGATTGGCCGGAATCGAAGCCGTGTCTCCCGCCGAAGACACGTCCTTTCCCCTCACCTCTCCGGATCATTTAATCACGCTCGACTTATCGGAGAGTCCAGGATTAGCGCGCCAACTTCTGGCCGATAATGCCGCCCTGGCAGCCTCCAGGGAAGTGCAGGAACTCAATCTTTCCGGCGCAGACCTCGAGTTTATCCGTTCCGATTTATTGCACTTCCTGACACAACTAAGAGTTATACATCTAAGAGGCAATTCGTTGAATTGTAGTGAGTTACAATGGTTGGCTGCGTGGATGAGGAGACAGGACGAGATAGAGTACAGGGATGTCGTTTGTGCGAATCCTCCTGACCTTTGGGGAATCAGAATTTTGGACTTACAAATTACTGAAACTGTTCAAATGAATGACAGTAAGATGTCTCTATTAGTTACTGGAATGAAATCTAGAAACGAAGACAAATCTCCTAAAGACAATAATGCAAATGAAACTGGTGTAAAAAGAGAAAGGATTTCAAAAAATATTACGGTAGAATCAACAAAAAACAAATTTAATTTAGATGGGTTAAATCGAAGAAATTCGTCTACACCTGTGGAGCTCATCAATGAAGAAAATTCGGTAATAAAGGACGTTATAACGACGACAGAATTCTCGCAAGTAAAGCCAGACGAAAGCGGTATTAATCAAGGAGGTAACGAGGCAATTTCAGACACCGGGAGCACGGAGCAGTCGACGAATGATCGAAATTACGCCGAAAACTCGCCGACGAAGAATAGTGATGAGGCGGCCGCGGCACGTAATAAAGCCAGAGCTTCGCTCAATCTCATACTCACACCCGATATATTAAATAATAACCCCGGCAGCGTTGCCAAAAGCGTTAATAATGACGGCACTAGCTCGATCGACACCAATATAACCGAGAGCACGTCACAGTGGAACGGATCGAGCGTGGAAATGTCGATGTATACAAACAGCGAACGCCAGGCCCGCTTCCTGCACCCCGGTATGCTAATATTAGCTGCGGGAATTCTGTGCGGTGCGGCTACCCTCACCATGCTCGCTGCCAGGTTTAACAGCAGGAAAAAGAGGGATAACGAGAATCTTTTTCGGGAGGATATAGAGGTGGCCAGTTTGCCGAGCGTATCGGAGCTCTGGTGACATTTGAGGGACGTTGATGAAGAACGGAAGGTTCTGTACGAGACGTCCGTTACTTAACAGATTAAACTTGACAGTGGTTTGTGATAAAACTGAATAGATGGGGATGAAATCGGGTAACCATGTTCTAAATGTTAACCTAATTTTGATCAAACAATTTCTTACAGCCTAGTTTAATAAAATTTATTAATATTATCACAAAAAAAAAATAGATATAAATATTTTCGTATTAATACAATATGCCTATAGCAGATCATAAGTTCTTTACTAAAGCTAAAAATATTTAGACTTTATTAAACCAGGCGGTTGAGTTTTAAAAAACAGATTATCTATAATTTAGATCTAAAAAATATGATTTTAAAATTTGTATCATTAAATCTAAGTAGCAACTAAAAGTATTTAATGTTGTTTAATTATATAAAAACTATCGTTCATTGGTTGAATATATACTAATTTATTATTTTAATCATTGCAATTCTCTATTTGTTGTAATTCAGCTAAATAACCGTACGATCGAAAAAAGGTCACCAAGTTAGCTTGGAAATGACAATCAATAACATTCGCCATATAATGTTACGTAAGGGTAATCTTAATTTCCAAGCCTACTCTGACACCGTCTTTTTTTCGATGATATAGTATAATATAATGTCAAAAGTTTTTGCAGCAAAATGATAGATAAAATATCAAATTCCAAATTAAAAAAATGGAGATTTAAAAATATAAAGATGTCTGTAAAACTATTTCTTTGATTACATTAAATAAAAATAAGTTATGAAAACAAACATAAGTAAAAAATCTTAATAGGATTACATGTTCAAAAAAAATTGTAGGTTGAAATGAGTTAAAAGTAAAAAGGTTCAAGACTTATTTTAAAGTTAAAAAAGCTTACAGTCTGTTTCATGTTTCAAGATAATTTATAAAATAAAATATTGCTGATTAAAAAAAATCTCCCTAAAAAAATTAATATTGCTCTTGAACGATTTTACTTCAATAACTAAAATTGTTCTGTATAGTCTAATCATTCTAAATTTATGTTCTTAAAATTGAATAAAAAAGAAAATAAATAATTAAAAAATTGATAAAACTTACCATAAATAACTAACATATCTAAAAAAATTAAAGAATTAAACTTTATTTTTTGTTAGAATTTAAACCGGATTTCATCCCACTGTGTAATAATATATATTTTGTATGACTGAATAAGTTTTGTACTTGAAATGTAAAATAATGTAAGAAATTATGAAAAATAGATAATGTTATTTGTAAATGACATAAGTATATGTATGTGAAGGTGAACCCACTAAAATAAAAATATTTCTTTGGCGATAAAAAATGTTTTTTATTATTAACCCCTACAGAAGAGTTTATAAAAATTCACACAAAAATATCTGAATGAATATAACTATCACTAAAATTTTCCTTTGTGTGACAGAAATATGAATTAATTCTAAATTCTATGTATATACACAATTAAAAGATAATTGAGAAAATCATTTGGAAACGTTTTCCATAAATATCAATAATAATTATTATTATCATAATAAAATATAAAGTATTTGTTAAAGCCATACAATTTTTTTTACTTTTCGTCACAAACGAAATTCAAATATAGTTACAGTGAGTATTTCCTAATGAGAAAAACAAATATTTCCCTCATAGGTTGGATATTTCCAGAAAACACAACATGTAAATCAGTTTCAAACTTTCCGGCTTAATTAAAAATAGAATTTAATTACATAGTAAAATACAAACGCGCTTTCAAACATTCTGTAAAAAGAAATTTCATTTAATTTTTTTTAATTAAAAATATATATAAATATATAACTCTTTTTTTAACAAAGAAATATATATTTTAAGTAATTAAAAGGTAATAATGCCTTAACAAAGAAAATACAAAAAGAAATTAAGAACAACGAATTAGTACAATGTTATTGTTCTCTATAGAAAAAAAGCTTGTTAAAGATTGTTTTTCAGAAACGTGATCCAATTTATTTGAAAAGTAAATTATAAAAAAAGTTTTTAATTGAATCAAAACAGTGTATGTAATGAAACAAAAGAAAGATAAATAAAAAAGTAAATTGGATTCTAGTAATAAAATATATTTGGACTCAATTAGATATAGCACAATTATTTTTTTTTATTTCTGTAAGTTTTCGAGGGCTTTTGGAAAAATATTTAAAAATATGAATTCTATAAACTCTTTTAAACATAATCCAAAAAACAAATAGGGGAGACTCGGGCAGCGCCGATCACCTTATATTGACCTATTATAAAATGTTTAAACTTACTTCAATCTGATCGGGATTTCAAATGTGAATAAATTAACATGTTATATACAAGTGTTAAAAACGTTAACAACAAAATAGTGAAAAATAAGGATGACAAAAATTAAAATTAAAAACTTGCGGAATATCGGTTTTGCCCAGTACCCCAGGGTAAAACGATCATATCACTATGTCACTAGGGAAAAAGCGATCAGGAATTTCAAATTACTTTTAAAGTACTTTTTTTAAATAAAACGGTTAATAAGCACAAAAACACTTTATTAGCAAACGAACAAAACTTTGGTGACTTAAATGTAAAAAATACGTAATTTTGAAACATGTAGAAACAACTTGGGTTGGGTTAATATTAGGGTTCCCAACCGTCCCGGTTTGATCGGGATTAACCAGGAATCAGAAAGTTTGTCCCGGCGAAAATTTTGCCTTGGCCGGGACCAAAAAAAATCACATTTACATATAATATATTTGAATTTCTAATATTTAATGTTTTGTTTCAATTATTTAAAAACTTAAAAATAATTGTCCCGGAATCGCCGATGCTCAAGTTGGGAACTCTAGTTAATATTAATGTCTATTTGACACAATAGTGTCTTTGCATTGGTCACAAATGTATACCCCTGTTATGTAATATGTGCATAATTTATGCGCCCAATTGCAGCAAATATTACACTGTATCCACACTTCTCGTGGACGTGAATTAGAGAATAATCCATAACATTCTAAACATTTAACATCCTCCCCTGGACATTCTTCTTTTGGTGGCTTAGGATAAATAAGCTCCTGTTTTGTTTTTTTCGTTCTAGCTTTTATTGTTTTCTCGTCAGTTTTTAGGGTTTTCTTAATTTTTATTCTTGGTCCATCGTCTATTTTTATTTTTCTTGTAACACTCTCCTTTTTTGTATTTCCTTTTTGAGAAATTTCTTCTTTAACAGGTGTAGAAGTCAAAATTTCCGACTTCTGTGACTTTCTTCTTCGTGTGTTTTGTTTAGAGTCAGCTTTTGGTACTATCAATATATCGGAAATAACGGTAATCTTTTTTTCAGGCGTCATAATATTTTTATTCATATTTGTTGGATCTTTCTCTATATTACTGGCAGATATAATTTGTAAGCCATCTGTAACCTGGACTAAATTTTCTTTCAATATTCTGGATGGTCCAGCACCATCAGTCGTTTCAGAGGCAGTACTTCTAGAGGCCACAATTTCGCTGACTTCTGTACAGTAAATATTTTTAGGTGTTTTCGTTGATTCCAATGGGTTTATTTCGGTTACGATTGAGGGTGCGAAGTGAAGGTCTGTAAAAACGGAAATATCACAATTTGTGATTCCTGTTTTTTTAAATCCACTTATGGCATTAACAGGAGTAGCGCTATTTAAATAGGCTTCGGTAAATATTGAGCCTATATCAAAAAAAGTTACTCTCTGGGCTGGATGAGCTTTTTGCCATTTATCCAGGGCTCTCTCAAAATATTTTCCGAATGGGCCGTATACAGCAACGTCCAACGGCTGGAGTTTGTGGGTCGAGTGGGGCGGAACTGACAGAATGACCACATGATTTTCGGATGCATACTGTAAAACCTTTAAGGACCGATGTGACACGTGATTGTCTAGTATAAGAAGACATTTATGCTGTTCCGTCGGTCTTACACTCGCCACAAAAAACTTCAGCCATTCTAAAAAAGCATCAGAATTAATCCAGCCATTGTCCGTTACTAACATTAATGTTCCTGGAGGGGTTCCTTCAAGATAACGGGGATTTTTCTTCTTTCGAGGAAATACTAAAGTTGGAGAAATAAATTTTCCGGTTGCTGAACAACAAAATAACGACGTTATCAGGGTACCGCGTTCAGATGACGAAATTGAGCCAACTTGCTTCTTGCCTCTTACGGATAAAACTTTTGGTGGTTTTTTAGCTGACGTCTGGATCCCCGTCTCATCGACATTATATATATTGTCCGTAGTAATATGATGCTTTTCCAAAATTTGAGACAGATTTTTAAAGAAAATTTCGACCTGAACTCTGTTGAATCCGCAAGCCCGTGCGACGCTAGTAGGTTCTGGAGTTCTTAAACTTAACTCTTGATGTCGCAGCATAAAATTAGCGTACCACTGCTCACCCGCTTCATTATTCGTAAATGGATGGTGAATATGTTTTTCCTCCGCATACTGGTAAGCTAATTTACAAAAATCTCTCTTGGTTAAACCATAGAATCGCTTATCTAATTCTTTCAGATATTCAACAAGCTCTTTTTCTTCTGCCTCGGAAAAAACTTTAGAATATCTTCCTAACTTCTTTTTTGAAGTATTTAATTTTTTGTGGTCGGCCAGAGTAGAATAGGGAATTCCATATTTTTTTGAAGCCCCCCTAATAGATATCTTCCCTTGCTTTAAGTCATTTAATGCTAAAGACATTGTCTGCTCACTCCATGAATCTCCCCTGGAAGATATTCGCTTATATTTGAAAACCATCTTTACCATGCTACAAATTAAAACCAAGCTCCAAATAAAAACATAAACGGACGATTTTGCAATGAATCTAACTATATCCAATTATTATTAAATAGGCAATTCAACAATAATAGGTAGCTAGTTAGGGCAAAACTGATCATGATCGGTTTTGCCTGATCGGTCTTGCCTAGAATTAACTAAATCTCCTTATTTTATTAAATATATGGCAACAATACTTTAGAATATAAATTTTTTAAGGTTATGTGTAAATTCTATATGAAATAAGAAGTTTAAGCTAAAAAAGTATCATTAATGTGGAAGAAAACAAGTATTTTACGTCTTGCAATAACGTTTTAAAGGAATTAAACTAATATTACTTACCAATTCAGCAAAAAACTACCGGTATTTATCAGAATATAAGCACCACTTTTAAAATGGCAATGTTGCGAAATTTAATTTTTTGCAGGGTTAGAAATATATTAGTGATCGTTATTGCCCGATATATCGGTTTTGCCCGAGTCTACCCTATTAGTTAATGTTTGAATTTTAATTCTAATTTGAGTACATGATTGATAGATAAAAAAAAACATTTTTCTTTTTTCGCGAAAAAAAATTAATTTTTTGAAAAAATTTTGAAAATTTGGAATTTTTTGAGAAAAAAAATTTGAAAGTTTTTTTTGATTTTTTTTTAAATTTTTAGTTAAAAAAACAATATATCTTCATAATAAGGCAACATAGGTAGTAGATTAAATTTACAAGAAAGAAAATCCAGAAAAGATTCAGTCAAAATTTAAGCAAAAAAATATTTCTTTTTCAAATTTTCAAACTAAAAATATATCTCCGTTATTTTGGACTGATTTAAAACACGGTAAAGAGAAAATATGATGTAAATTCGAGCCCTACAAGCCCTGAAAATATTTGCACTTATTTACAAAATAAAACCCTAAATTACCACAATACATCAAAACACTTTTACAATGGACGCGCGTTTCGCTAACCATTGGTGTATTGTGGTGATTTAGTGTTTTATTTTTCTGTTGTAACACCAAAGGTGAGACACGTCTGGTTACCAAATCAGATCAGTCGATCCTCCGATATTTTGGCCATATCGCCAGGAGTGGCACCTCAATTGAGAGACTGATGGTGGAGGGGAAGGTAGAGGGAAGACGATCACGTGGAAGGTCACCAAGAGGTGGGTAGACCAAGTCAAAACCCTAGTGGGCCATAACCTCCCCGAAGTCTCACATATGGCGCAGCATCGAACAACTTGGTCCGAGGAAGTGAGGGAAATCAACACATGATGCCACCATACTCTCACGTAGGGTGAAGGACTGAAGAGAGAGAGAGAGAGAGAACACCAAAGGTTTCAACTCCCAACTGTAATAGCACATATAGAAAAAAATCTTATATAAGACATAAAATCGTTACTTAGAGACAAATCGCAAAAAAAGTAAAATATAAGAAAAACACAAAACATATATATATAAACTATAGAAAAAAACCTACTACCGTTAGATCTAAGACATTATAATAAACAGAGAAAAGGTAAAGATATAAGTATCCTAAATAAAGTTTTCTGAA